GGGGGGGGGAGGGGGCTGGCTTCCTGGTGTAACTTGCCTTATGCTCCCTCATCAAAGACAACAGCAGAGGAGCCCCTAGAGAGGTTGGGAAGCAGAGGCCAGGCCTGGAACCCAGGATGAGGAGTGCATGGGTAACAATGTAACATGCTTTTGAGAGATCTAGTTAGAAGATTACTGAAGAAAGTCCCTTTGGTTGTGCTCCCCAGAGGCCCTTGAAGAGAAACGGAACCCAGATTGAATGTGTTTTCTTTTAGGTTGGGAGAAACTGGGACCTATTTAAATGCTGAAGAAAAGGCTTACCAGAGAAGAGCTGATGATTCAGAAGAAGGGACGGGAGGCAATCTAGGACTGGGATGGTGACATACCATCGTCTACCAACATAGCTCCACGTGGCCCAAGATGACCGTTTGAGCTACAGCAATTTTGTCTGAGGTCAGCCAGCAGGAAGGAAAGAGGAAGGGAGGAAGATGGCATTTCTTTCTCTCTCTTTCTCCTTCTTTAAAAAAAAATTTTTTTTTAATGTTTATTTACTTTTGAAAGAGAGAGAGAGAGAGAGAGAGTATGAGTTGGGGGAGGGAAAGAGAGAGAAGGAGACACAGAATCCGAAGCAGGCTCCAGGCTCTGAGCTGTCAGCACAGAGCCTGACGCGGGGCTCAAACCCACCAACGGTGAGATCACGAACCGAGGCAGAGTCGGATGGGCGACTGAGGCCACCCAGGCGCCCCTCTTTCTTCTTTTTTTAGATTGAACATTTACTTACAAGCAGCCTTCCCTTTTAGGCGACTTCCAGAAGTTCCCCGTGACGCTTCTTACATCTCAGTGGCTATACCTACCCCCGTGGCCACATCGGCTGAAAGGGAGGTGAGGAAATCCAGGCTTTGGACAGAGCTACAGTTTCTGTTACTAAAGGAGTAAGACATAGATACCAGGAGTTAGGAACAGTCTGTGCCATAAAGGGAAGTGGGAGGGACCAGGTGGTTTGTCTGTTGAGGTAGAGTCTGGAAAGATTCAGGCATTGGAGCCCAGCCCACTGCATTCTAATCCCTACCCATATCCTGTCACCTGTGTGACCTTGAACAAGCCCACGGGAGCCTTTACGGTATCCTCTGTAAAATGGGAGTGACAGTCTACCTGGCCGAATGACTGCAAGGATTGAATGAGATGCGTGGAAGGACCTGACCTGTGGCAGCCCCTTTGTTACATGTGTGTTACATGTTTGTTACATTTAAATTAAAAAAAATTTTTTTTTTCACGATGAGAAACACACCCTGAGGACCTGCTCTGTTCATAGTATTTCTTTCTCACTCCAACCAGCTATTACGATCATCCTTACTTTGTCAAACAGGAAACTCCAGTTCAGCAAGTCACCCAACAAATAGACGCTAGGATTTGAATCCAGGTCCTGTGACTCTGTGATGTTGTGATACCATGAGAAATATACATTCGGTCTTCATCCCTGGTTCTTGGCTTCCAAATCCTTGGGTGACAGGGGTTCGTTCCAGCAGCATCTTTTGTTATGATACTTGGTCTCCCCTCCTAGTTTCCACAAGGGTTTTGGAACTTTCTGAGTGATAGAAGTGATGGGAGTATCTTCAGTTATTCACGAAAAGCCCCTTCGGCCATCCTGGAGTTTATGACATGGCTGGTGGCTAGAAGTCCCTAAATAACTTCAGGCGGGGACAAGTTGCCAGAGGGTCCAATCATGGGATTAGAGGATTGAAACTTTCAGCCACTCTCACCCCCACTTCTGCTGGGGTGGGGAGTGGGGAGGAGGCTGGGGATTGAGTTAATCACCAACGGCCAGCGAGTTCATCAATCATGCCTGTGTAATGGAATCTCCACAAAACCCTAAATAAAGGGGTTTGGAGAGCTTCTGGTGAATGCATCTGCATGCCGGGAGGTTGGCTCACCCCAGCCTCTGTGGGCCCAAGCACTCTCTGGACCCTTCCATATCTCCTCCTATGTACCTATTCATCTGACTGTTCATTTATATTTTTTACAATATCCTTTTTTAAAAACATTTAATGTTTGTTTATTTTTGAGAGAGAGCGAGAGGGAGAGAGAGAAAATGGGGGCGGGGCAGACAGAGAGAGACAGAGACAGATCCGAAGCAGGCTCCAGGCTCTGAGCTGTCAGCACAGAGCCCGATGCGGGGCTCGAACTCATGGACCACACAAGATCATGACCCAAGCCGAAGTCAGACGCTTAACCAACTGAGCCCCCCGGGCGCCCCTTTCATAATATCCTTTTTGATAAATCAGCAAAGTAACAAGTACTTTCCTGAATTCTGTGAGCTGTTAGAGCAAATCATGGAACCTGAGGAGGGGGGTCACTAGGACCCCCTGATATGTAGTCAGATTGGACAGAAGTGTGGGTAGCCTGGGGACCCACCACTTAGGACAGGATTCCGAAGTAGGGAGCAGTCTCGTGGGACTCAGCCAGTAACCTGTGGGGTCTGGTAATACTTCTGGTAGTACACAGAGACGTTTGTCGTCAGAAGGATTCCGCTCTTGTAGATAAAAGCACCCTGGTGGTAGGCTCCAGGGCCTTTGCTGGCAACCCTCCCAACCCTTCACAGCTCAGCCTCTGCCAAGTGCTTGGAGGCCCCCGGACGACCACGTGGTCCCTGCGTCCATCTGGCGGCTGCTGTTTCCACATTTGACCACGGGGTGACCTTCTACTCATCATCAAGGCTCCTAGCGAATGAATAGCCCTTCCGAGAAAACTGTTTTGTTGTTGATTTTTACAGAGTTTGTTAATGTTGACTTGTTTTTGAGAGAGACAGAGCAGAAGTGCAGAGAGAAGGAGACACAGAATCCGAAGCGGGCTCCAGGCTCCGAGCTGTCAGCACGGAGCCCGACGTGGGGCTCGAACCCACGAACCGTGAGATCGTGACCTGAGCCGAAGTTGGACGCCCAACTGACTGAGCCACCCAGGCGCCCCTGTTTTTGTTTTTTTAAATTCACATCTCAAGAA